AGTATTTACTAATCAAACTTTGGATAATTTTTCCAGACATGCTGTAATGTTGTACTTATAGGTGAAAAACAATTATGAACATCACAGAATTACTATACAGTATTTCACAGATGTAAAATAATGTATATTTGTAAATATTCATCACTAACATTTGTACTTATTTTTTAAATCCTGACATTATAGGGCATTAGTACTCAGCAGATAATGCTCACTGTCAGAAATATTTTCTTGCATTGTTTATTAGTGACAGCAAAATTACCTTGACCTGATCTTTAATTTTACTTTTGCTTTGTAATACAGTATAATGGATTTTGTGTGCTTTTATTGATTTGATAACAGCACACTATGTATTTAGACTCATGATATCTAGGAGGTCTCCTGACCTGTGATGCTAGAACACTCTACTGTTCAATCATTGGAGTCAGTGTTCAATACACCTTCAGGTGTAGCAAGTGTTTGAAATGCTTGATGAAGACTACTCGTTAGTTTGGGTATCATGTATGTACCATAATAATGACTGCTTGGTTTTTACAAGCAGCTTTGAAGGAAACTATTTTTAAGAGTGAGAACTTTTAATGTTATCTTTCAAGCTTGCACCTCCTAGACCTGCAGGTACATTACAAAACATATTGTAAATAAAAAAAAACTCTGTCCCTGTTCTTCACATTTGTCTCTTTTCAGATATGTAGCTGTGAATTATACAGCCATCAGTAGATAGGCTTTTTGTCTATATAATATTCAATGTTTATAACTGACACATGCCATGATATGCAAACTTTCAGGGGACACCTGACAATAGTGGCATAATACAAAGAACTCTGGATGCAATATCAACACAATCCAAGATTATCAAGCACAGAGATGTGTCTTCATGCCTGATCATATGAATGGCTTTGATATCCAGACAGAAGCTGAGGCTGCACAGGAGCGCAAGGCATTTCAGGCTCAGGTAATGTCTGCAAGACACCCCGTACTCCAAGACAGAGGTACTCTTGTTTGTTACAGTGGACCTCGGTTTTCATGTTTAATCCGTTCCAGAGCCATCAGCCAAAACCGAAACCATTTTCTCCATAAGAAATAATGTAAATGGAATTAATCCATTCCAGACACCTAGAAGTATCAACAAAATAATTTTTTTTACCTTAAAGATAGATTTACATGCACAAAGAATAAACATTACACATGACACTTAACTTATTGAAGGCTGTTTTTGCTGGAAAGGAGACAGGGGAGGAGGGGAGTGGGAAGGGTTAATCTTGGAGAAGGGGAATCCCCTCAATAAGGACTGGAGGTACCAAGTCCTTATCTGGGGTTACTTCCCTCCTTGTTTTTAATGCCACTAGGGACCAGTTTGAGAGTCACTGGACCCCTGTCGCACAAATATCTGTCCCGATAGGTCTGTTTCTGGCTTCTCAGATTTGCCTAAAATGGGGACATGGTATTGTCATTGTAAAAGTCGCCCCTGCCCGGATTGCAAACAGCTTTCCTCAGGGTGCTGTTGCTTCACAAATGAGTGTTACCCTAGTCCCATTGCACAAATCTCCTTAATCTCTGAAGAAGGGCACCTGCTTACATCTCTCTTCCTTCCTCCTTTGCTCAATTTCCTGTGCTATGGTCTGTTGGCTGTTGCAGATGCTCTTTCAGCTCATCAGTGGTTAGCTCTTAAATTGTGGCCATCCACCAACTCTTTCACATCCTGGCCACTCACATCCAAACCCCATGGGAATTCCAGTGCCACAATTGATTTGCAAACAGGTGTAGGTTCGGACAGGGTCAGCCTCAGACCCTTCAAAATCCTATTTTGGACACATCTGGCCACAGTTTTTCCCAAGTAGAGTTCATTGTCCTGGGAAGACACTCCCTGCCAAGCCTTATTTATAAGGTTATGCATGGAGATATTGTGTTCCTCATTTTCTTTACCAAAGCACTGGCACTAGGAGCTTCTTTGGGGCCCATGGTTGCTTATTTAGCAGTCACACACAATAAACAAGTGCAAAAAAAAACAATGGTATTAATATGAAATGTTTTGTATGACCTCGGCAGGATATGTTCACTCACTGAGATAACAACGCTGCTTGCTCTGGTGAGAATGCGTGTGGGAGGTTAGCTTCTGTCTGTGCGCTGGGCACTGGACAGGTTCCGTATGATCGGCGAAAACGGAGCGTAACTGACGGAAAACGGAACCAAAAAATCAACGGAAAAATAGTCGTCCAAAACCGAAATTGGTGATAATGGAGATCGACGAAAATGGTAGGGTCCGCTGTATTTATTTTAGAAGACTTGAGTTCTGGAGATGAAAGTATGGAGTCTGTACTCTGAAAGATGGATGAAAATGTGTGATTGGGTGGATCCTTTGAACTCGGATGTCTGATTCAGTTTCGGAAAAACATCTAAAGAATGAACAATGGTGAAACTTATTTTCTTCTTTGGGTCACCCTTCCATTGGTGGAAGCCAGTGTATTATTTAAATAAAAATTTAGATTTCAGTATTGCAATCCTGTTGGATTTATATTAGATTGTGATATATGTGCAGTACCATGGGGACTGAGTTATAAACACTAGATCATGTCGTGTTGTCAAAGTTTGCTGAGGTTCACGTACACTGTTAACTATCTATTTGTTCTTGAAGGGGTCATGCCTTAGCCTCCTGGCCCACCACTCTACTTGCCTGCTCCTCAGATTCTTTCCTACCTCCATGGGCCTATTTTACCCTTTAAAACTATGTATGGCATTTGTCTTTACCACTTTTCTTGAGATCATTCCACTTCCTGACCACCTCTGAGATCGAGAAATATTCCTGACTTTCTGTGGCTATCTAGGCCTTTTTTAGCTGCAAGCTGTGTCCCAAAGTACCTGTTTCCTTGCCTCTCAAACTGCTTCTCCCTGCATACCCTATCAATTCCCTTAATATGTTGTATGTGTATGTGTGGGGGATGTAATTTGATTGATTTAGTGCATGCAGTGTGAGCAAGGTAACATTTATGAAAGGATTCATGGAAAACCAACTAGTTTGGAGATTTAACCCTGAAAGTGGCCCAATGGGTTTGGAGTTACATATTGCTGATTCATTTTCATCATCATTTTAGGACAGTTGACACACCAAGTTTTGACATTTCCCATGCGCAATCCAGGATGATCAAAAATTGAGATTTAAATGAAGATAATGTGTATGCTGTTTTTGTGACCACATAGAAATTTATCAAAACTACATCTATGATTTCTGATGAAGCATCAGGCAATGGGCAGTCTCAAGGTAAAGTCATTTTGGCTATGATTTTGCAGATAATCAAAACTCATTAGTTTGCTTTTATATTGATAAAATAAATTTGCTTGTAAACTTTTATAGCTATGCTATGTTTTCTTCTTGGTAGAAGGTTGGTAGACCAGCAACCGCCCAGAGAGGTACTGCCGTCCTGCCCAGTGAGTGTTTTTAAAACGAAAGCCTGTAAGGTGCTTTACATGATGGTAGGATTGCTGGCATCTTTTTCTCTCTTAAACAAGCAAGATTCAGGTATGTCTTGCTACTTCTACTTACACTCTAGGTCACATACACATGCATGTCAAGGCCTATATATACACCACCCCTCTGGGTTTTTCTTCTGTTTTTCTTACTAGTTATGTTCTTGTTTTATTTCCTCTTATCTCCATGGGGAAGTGGAATCAGAATCCATCCTCTGTAAGCCCATGTGTGTGTAAAGAGGCGACTAAAATGCCGGGAGCAAGGGGCTAGTAACCCTTTTCCCTGTATACATCCTAAAGTTAAAAAGAGAAACTTTTCTTTTTTCCTTTTTTGGGCCACCCTGCATCGGACTTTTTTTCTTTTATTTTTTTAGGTGGGATACGGCCAATTTGTTGAAAGATGGTGACGTTTCTTATAATACGATAGAAAAAATATAAAGTAAGGATAGCAACATTAAAGGTAAAAATGTAGTTGTAATAGCTGGCACTGGTTGACAGTTTTATACAAGTGCCACCATTTTTTTTATTAAATCAATTTATACTCCATAATCACTAGAATCATTTCCTTCATTTTAGCAATTGGTACAAACGGGGTTATAGGCCCCATGCTCCCAGCATTTTAGTCATCTTATATGACATGCATAATTTACAGAGAATGGTTTTTCTAACTTCATGGAGTGTGGCAATGTAACAATTAAGAAAGGATTCAAGCAAACTGGTTGGTCAAACATGAGTCCTGGAGGTTGCTATATACAATATCAGATTTTGAAGGACTGGGTAGAGTTGTGGTTTCAGATGGTTTTCTGAATTGTGATGTCCAATGTTGAATCTTGCGAGACAGCCGTTTGAAAGAATGATGGTGAATGTTTCCTTTTTTGGGACCCACCAAGGTAAGGTGGCCCCAAGAAATAGATTATTTGCTGCATTCTGATCTGTATTTACGTGTCTAAAATTATTGCCCAGTATAGAGAATAAAAAGGCACAAGACCATGGCAAGAACAAGGTACGTAACATAACGTCCCTTTAGGAGAGGGAAAGTAATAAGATGTTTTTGTCCCTACTTGGATCGCTAACAAGTCACAGTGTGACTTGCAATGGTCCAACATAGTGCTGAAGCAGTGTATTACTTTCCATCCCCTAAGTGCAGAGTATTTGAATATATGTATTGCCAAGTATGTTTGTCTCAGTCGTGTTGTCAAGTCACTAGTATAATCCTTGCATGTACTGTATCTCTTTCAGCCTTAGTTTGTATACCCAGTGTCAGTAGTTAAACAATTTAGAGATAATAGGAGGAACAGGTGACCAATAATGGTGACTGCGTGGATAGCGATTTGACTGTTTTGCTGGAATATTAGCAATAATCTAACAATTCTGTAACAATAAATTTTCCCCAGTGGGTTTTGTCCTGTATTTCAGAGGTAGAGTATGTTAAATCAAGGTTCCTTAAATTGAGGGATGCTGGTCTCTTGAACAGTTTCTAGATAATCTCAGAATTTAAATTAATTTGTTTATCAGTACTTATATATATTCCTGTGTTGCAGGGGTTTTCAGGCTAAGGTTCTTAGTGAAGGATTCAAATCCACAATATGTATGTTCATGGATTGCATAGAAGTGGAAGTTAGAACCCCTGAAAGATAGCCTGGAGGTGTTTGTAGACCTTCAAAGTATTTATAAGCCATTTGTTTAATATAGGATAGCATGCATTAACTTTACCTAATGATTGTTTTCATAAAGAACATTAATAAAGTTTTCAGTTTATGAACTATAATTTTAATTTTTTTCTTTGTGACTAGATGTTCAGTTGGACAAAATCATCTTGAGTCATTATAAAAGCAGATATTCTGATTAATTTCCAGGTAATGGTAAAGGGTCAGAAGCGGAGAAAGGTGGCCACTACAAATCTTAACCTGGAGTCATCACGCTCACACTCAATATTTTCCATCAGAGTTGTGCAAGTTAGTTGTCTTCTGTGAAGTGCACCAATTAAAGTATATGGTAGATTTGGTAATAAGGAATAGAAAGAAAAAATATGAGTGCAGAATTAGGAATTTAAAAATGGAAGAGAGATGTGGATTGAAATACAGTGGACCCTCAAATTTCATAATCCCTTTTCTGAATGTAAAGCTATAGTTATTCTCCATAAAATGTATTTTTTGTTAATATTTTTATGTGTCTGGAATGGATTAATTGGATTTACATTTTTTCTTATGGGAATTTTTTTTTTTTTTTTTTTTTTCAACAAGTCGGCCGTCTCCCACCGAGGCAGGGTGAATATAAATAAACAATATAAACAAAAAATACATTTTATAGAGGATAACTATAGTTTTACACACAGAAAAGGGATTATGAAATTCGAGGGTCCACATATATGAGAAGTATATGGCACGTTGGGAAGGCTTTAAGGGAAAATTTCAAAGGAGGTGTCTTGATACTAGTGAAAGGCTCTTCATCCAATAAACTGGAGTTACCTTTCCCTTGATTATTTTTCCATTCTCCAGTCACTATATAACACATATAATAATAATAATTATAGTAGTATGGAGGAGGTGAATGTATTCATAGCAGATGAGTCTATGAAAGATGGAAGTGATTCATAGAATTGGATGAGGGGGAAAAAAAGTGAGGAGTGGTGCCCTTAGGAGTCTGTGGAACAAAAAAAACTTTGTCCATGGAAGCAAAGAGGGGACTGTATGAGAGTATAGTTATACCAGTGCTCTTATATGGGTGGTGAATGTTGCAACAAGGAGAAGGCTGGAGGCAGTGGAGATGCCATGTCTGAGGGCAATGTGTGGTGTGAATATAATGCAGAGAACTTCATAGGTTTTTGTATTAGGAGGAAGGTGTAGGATTACCAAAAACTATTATCCGAGGGACTTGAGGGGCTGAGGAGGGGTTGTGAGGCAGTTTGGAATGTGGAGAGGGGTGGAACAAATAGAATGCAACTTCGAGTGTGTAATAAATCTGTCAGTGGGGGAAAGTGGGGTAGGGGTCGACCTGGAAAGGTTTGGTGGGAGGGGGTTAAAGGAGGTTTTGTGTGTGAGGGGCTTGAACTTCCAGCAAGCATGTGTGAGCGTGTTAGATAGGAGCAAATAGAGACAAATGGTTTTTAGGACTTGATGTGCTGTTGGAGTGTGAGCAAGGTAACATTTATGAAGGGATTCAGGGAAACTGGCAGGCCGGACTTGATTCCTAGATATGGGAAGTACAGTGCCTGCACTCTGAAGGAGGGGTGTTAATGTTGCAGTTTTATAACTGTAGTGTAAGTGCACCTCTGTCAAGACAGTGATGGAGTGAATGATGGTGAAAGTTTTTCTCTTTCGGGCCACCCTGCCTTGGTGGGAGACGGCTAATGTGTTTAAAAAAAAATAATAATAAATTGTACATACAGGCCCCACTTGATGTCCATGGTGAGGAAGTTCTACAAGAAAAAGCTGCACTTTCAATATCCCAGTTGTCATTGGTGGACTTGGCTGGATCAGAGCGCAATAGTCGCACAAGAGCCAAAGGGGGCAGGGTCAAAGAAGCTGGTAAGTATTTTTATGTCTTTACATTTAATGTGTGGCATTGATAGATTACTTGGTAGTTTCAGGCATCAAACACTAATTCCTGAGCTGTATCTTCTTGTGTTATTATTGTTTGTAACTATAAGAGCAGAGCTATGCTTGTGGTGTCTCGTATTCAGTGTTAACTTCAGTTTTAATTTTTTAAGGTTTCCATTGATTATAGCACATATTACAATACTGTAGTACCATTATGATTCCATTCCAGCAGTCTACCATGGTTTGTGAAAAAATATATTCTAGTATCCTTTTAATACCTTTTTTCTTAGTTTACAGTTGTCACCTTTGTCCATTTTCTTGTATATATCCTTTTGTAATCTTTAATTGCTGTATGTGGTTATTGTCACCTCTTTCCTCCAATCAACTAAAAGGGGCATTTTCACTGTTTTCAATCATCATTACTTTTGTTTCTTAGCTCCAGTATTTTTTTTTTTTTTTTTTTTTTTTTTTTTTTTTTTTTTTTTTTTTTTTTTTTTTGTGATATGTCTTTGGACTCTTACTGTTTTTTGTGCAGCTGCTATACTACCTTTCCTTCCATCTTCCCTTCCATCCCTTAGATGCTTCAGATTCTCTTGTTATTACATTAATGGTTTCTTTTTTTACAGTGACTATTGTTGCTGTGTACATTCAGTTTTTCATTTTTGCTCTTTTAAACTTCTTTTGTTCTATTCCATATTTCTTACTCTTATTCTTTCATACAGGAAATATCAATAATTCACTCATGACTCTGCGATCATGCATAGAAGTTTTAAGAGAAAACCAGACTGGTGAGGGGCATCGGATGGTACCATATCGGGACTCAAAATTGACTCATTATCTGAAAAATTATTTTGGTGGTGAAGGAAGGATCAAGATGATTGTTTGTATAAATCCTAATGCAGAAGATTATGATGAAAATCAGGTATGCCTTAAAATATTTACATGGTATAGTATTATAGTACAGGGTGTCCACAAAAACACTCCCTGATTTCAAACAGGTATAACATTTAACTTTATTGTAATAATCTTTCACAGTTAGTAGCTTCAGATGCAGGATTGCATTCAGTATCCTGTAGTATAGAGTAGCATTAAAGGCACTCAATGTGCGCCCCTCTTGTTGCTCGGCAAACATTGATGCAATAGCCCAGTTCGGTCCAAACCCTCTGCAGCATATCTGGTGTTATCATGCGAACTGCTTCGGTGATTGAAATTTTCAGCTCCTCTGGGGTTGCAGGTAGTGGTGGTACGTAAACTGTGCTCTTCACGTACCCCCAAAGAAAGAAGTCACAAACAGTTAGGTCCAGTGACCTCGCAGGCCACATTTTTAAGCATCTGATGCATTTTTTGTGCTTTCATGTCATTTTTCAGTTTGAATAAATAGCACTTTGATAAAGGGTTTATTAATTCATTAAGTGTTGATAAGAGTCAGTTTGCACAGCAAATTAGTAACAAAATATGGCATATCTGATAATGTTCAATATAGGCATCATTTCAAGATACACTGCCTGAATTATTTAATCAGCATTATTGCTCTGGGGTGAATATTACACTAATTAATACATGGTAAAATAGAGGACCTGGTGTAAATACTGACTGCATGAAATATGCTTTGCCATTATGTAACTTAGTTATCTATGGTAACTAAAAATTTGACATTATTATTTTCAGACTGTAATGAAATTTGCAGAGTTGATCTCAGAAGTACAGATTGATCGGGCAACACCAGTGGCTCAGACAGAGTTGTGGCTCCCACCAGGACGTAGACAAGCAAATAAATTTTTCAAAAGCATACGTAAAAAACTAGAAGAAGAAGGAGAGAATGTAATGGTTAGACATTATTTATTTAATAATTACAAATGTAGGTGATATGGGCATCAAATGAAACAAGGCTCTGTTCTATAAACCTGTAGAACCTTGGATAATCAAGCACCCACTGTATTATGCTATAATCATTGTTTAACTAATTATTTGTCAGTTATAAAATCTGGGAATATATAAAAATTATATATATATTTTTTTTTTTTTTAACAAGTCGGCTGTCTCCCACCGAGGCAGGGTGACCCAAAAATATAAGAAAAGAAATAACCCCAAAAAGAAAATACTTTCGTCATCACTCAACACTTTCACCACACTCACACATAATCACTGTTTTTGCAGAGGTGCTCAGAATACAACAGTTTAGAAGCTACACAGTATAAAGATACACTACCATATCCCTCCAAACTGCCAATATCCAAGACCCCTCTTTAAACCCTTCAGGGTCCAAGGCCAAAATTGAAGTGGTGCTCCAGTGTCCAAGAAATATTTGAAAAAAAAAAAAAACTGATTTTTTTACAGATTAAAAGCATATTTTTGTGAAGGTAATAAGACAAAAAAAAAAAAATTTCTGATCAGTATCTACCGAGATCACAGTGCCAAGAAGTTTGTCAAACTGATGTGGTGGCAGGCAAACATGACGGAATTCCACATACGCGCCATTATATTATTTTGCGGGATTTTATAGTTTTTCTTTTCTTTTCCAATTTTTTTTCTATTCCTTACTAATATTTGGAGCATGAGAGACCAATACTGTATATAATGTATATATATAAAAACTCCACTGTATTGAACACAATAACCGCACTAAATTTATCATATTATTGTTTTACCATGTTGTTTATTACAATAACATGCACAATATTGTATAATACTAATGTTCTATCATATATTTACATATTTACAATCATGGGCATAGGTTTTAGAACTGCAGAGCTTGTGGAACTCCTTGAACAAGGCACATGCACAGAGGCTCCTTACATTTCCTCACACATTAAAACGAGTGTGTCTTTGCATCTTTGTTGCTGTCTTTTTGTTTGTTGCACAGACGATTGCATCTCTTCTGAGCCTAATTTCCTCTGGGTTGAAGGAGTTGTATTATGAAATGATCACCTTCCCTACTCAACGCCTTGGGTATATCCTGAGTAATTCGAGGACCTTTGTTGTATAGAGGGTGTTCTTACCTGTACTTCACTTTGAGTTGATCTGACAACAGACAAACAAAAATTCACCATTACGTGTGTGTGCTGGTCTGTTGCCAGTCTTTTTATTCTGTACATATTATATGCATTGAGCATTGAACATGTCCATGAGATGGACGAAAAAAGTTCATGTACCACTTGGTAACTCTTACGGGAACACAGTCAACAAACCTCAATCTGCATGTCAATTTGTCAACCAAGCGCATGTTTTGTGTATAATTCAATCACTGTCACTGGTTTTCGAATAACGTTCATTAGTCACTCGATCAACTTGCCACTGTCTTGCATTTCATTTCGGTGAATGGTAGGCAACAATGTGACTTCTCGTTTGTCATGCCACAGTAAATGCCATGATGTCATTGGCAGTAAACACCCTGCACGTCATCACCACGTAGCACCTGCGTTGAGCTTGGGCATATGTTTCGATTAGAAACGCACTGTGCCACACACATCTGTCTTGTTCACTCGCCATGAATAATCACTGAGTAATGGGGGCTTGTTGTACAGTTATCGGTATATATGTATGCCCCTTACCAGATAAGGTGCCAGCATGTTTCTCACTTACGTCTCCTGAGATACCCCAATAACATCTTGGTTTCTTTCAATGTTTACTACCCGTGTATTCAACAAATATCAAACACCAGGCCACTGTCACAATCACGGTACAAACAGTTTATCCAAAGCGTTTCCTCTTGCTCGGTATATACGCTTGAATGACAGTCTACTTTGAACCAAAATCTAAAACCGTCAATTACAGATTCTGAATGGATAAAAAGTATATGTGAATTTTTGTTGAGATACTGAAAACATTCTAATCTTGTATAACCTGTCACGTTCTGTCAGGCCTGGTTTGTCAGAGAAGTGCAACTACGTTAAGAGTAGATAAACCTGTTCACTGGTTATGATTTCATGAAGACCGGGTAGAAATTAGCTGATCTTGTGGACCAGTATGCTTTTATATTATGCTTATAGACATTGAGGCATAAGCCTTATTGTTGCAAAAAGCAATACATTTCTGCAACGTCGTTCTCTTTCCACCTGTGTAGTCTTGACTGTGGTGATATGATCGTATTTGCCATGGTTGTCACTCAAAATACTTATTACTTTCCCTGAACAATAGTTTCCATCAATGGCTGGTCAAAGAATTAATTCAAAGAATTCCAGTTCATTGGCCATGGTTCCAGGGGACAAGTAGGTAGAATTCCACTTTGAGAGTTCATCAAAGGTGGTGGAGGCAGGGAACATAATTGGGATTTTGCTGCAATGCCCACTACAGTTTGCTGGTGGATACTGGACATCATAGGCTGGTTGTGTGTTGTCCGTGGGTTGGTTGTGGTTGTGGGGGCTGGTGGCTGTGATGCTCCGCTTTGTCCTTGAAACTGACGAGCAGCAGCGTGGGTCCCACCCTGGGCTGAGCGAGGTCACGCAATGGCGGTTTGCCACTACCATCCACCACTAACACCATCCACTGATGCTGTGTACATATCCATGCCAAGGGTAGCCACATCATCCTCACTATCACTACCTAAAACTGGTGTAGGGGCCACGGGGGATGTATCCGGATGTACTCGTCCCCAGGGCACAGGCATGGGGTACACTACCCCGAGCGCATGCGGCGGCGCATACCGACGCTTCACTGGTGAATTTGATTCCTCACTATCATTCTCGAATGAATCGTCAGAGCGCAATTAAAATCACAATCCACGTCACTATCATCATCATTACTGAAGTCAGAGCCTGGCCAGCGAAATATTAGTTTTCTCTTGGTTGAGGACAAACCAATCTTGTGAGTCACGATGTTGCCCACACCAGAGGTAGAAGGTTGAGGATCAGTCAGGGTTTTCTGCACTATTATCAATATCCTGGTCATTCTTTTCGGTCACTAACTTATCAAAGCCGTAGAATTCGTCTTCATTTCCACTTCCATCAGTGTCAGAACTATCAGATAGGAAGAGGAGAGTCCCAATTTTCCGGGGAGTGAGAGCTGACTTGCAACAAGGCATGGTGAACAAGGATAACTGAGCCGGCGTTCCCACAATGCTATGCAGGCGCCTAGATTTTTTGTTTATGGCACACACCCACCACACAGACCCGTTCTCTCACATGTAGGCCTATGAGCGCTTTTGCGCTAAATTTGACAGCGCTAGAATTTTGGCGTAGATCTACAGTTTGGACACTCAACGTGAAGCCGTAAATCTACGGGACGGACCCTGAAAGGGTTAAAGTGCAGGCATTGTACTTCCCATTTCCAGGACTCAAGTCCGGCTATATGAAAATAACCGGTTTCCCTGAATCCCTTCATTAAATATTACCCTGCTCACACTCCAACAGATCGTCAGGTCCCAAGTACCATTCGTCTCCATTCACTCCTATCTAACACGCTCACGCACGCTTGCTGGAAGTCCAAGCCCCTTGCCCACAAAACCTCCTTTACCCCCTCTCTCCAACCCTTTCAAGGACGACCCCTACCCCGCCTTCCTTCCCCTATAGATTTATATGCTTTCCATGTCATTCTACTTTGATCCATTCTCTCTAAATGACCAAACCACCTCAACAACCCCTCTTCTGCCCTCTGACTAATACTTTTATTAACTCCACACCTTTTCCTAATTTCCACACTCCGAATTTTCTGCATAATATTTACGCCACACATTGCCCTTAAACAGGACATCTCCACTGCCTCCAACCGTCTCCTTGCTGCTGCATTTACCACCCAAGCTTCACACCCATATAAGAGTGTTGGTACTACTATACTTTCATACATTCCCTTCTTTGCCTCCATAGATAACGTTTTTTGACTCCACATATACCTCAACGCACCACTCACCTTTTTTCCCTCATCAATTCTATGATTAACCTCATCCTTCATAAATCCATCCGCTGACACGTCAACTCCCAAGTATCTGAAAACATTCACTTCTTCCATACTCTTCCTCCCCAATTTGATATCCAGTTTTTCTTTATCTAAATCATTTGATACCATCATCACCTTACTCTTTTCTATGTTCACTTTCAACTTTCTACCTTTACACACATTCCCAAACTCATCCACTAACCTTTGCAATTTTTCTTTAGAATCTCCCATAAGCACAGTATCATCAGCAAAAAGTAACTGTGTCAATTCCCATTTTGAATTTGATTCCCCAAAATGTAATCGCACCCCTCTCCTGAACACCCTAGCATTTACTTCCTTTACAACCCCATCTATAAATATATTAAACAACCATGGTGACATTACACATCCCTGTCTAAGACCTACTTTTAAACCGGGAAGTAGTCTCCCTCTCTTCTACACACCCTAACCTGAGCCTCACTATCCTCATAAAAACTCTTTACAGCATTTAATAACTTACCACCTATTCCATATACTTGCAACATCTGTCACATTTCTCCTCTATCCACTCTATCATATGCCTTTTCTAAATCCATAAATGCAATAAAAACTTCCCTACCTTTATCTAAATACTGTTCACATATATGCTTCAGTGTAAACACTTGATCTACACATCCCCTACCCACTCTGAAACCACCTTGCTCACCCGCAATCCCACATTCTGTCTTACCTCTAATTCTTTCAATTATAACCCTACCGTACACTTTTCCTGGTATACTCAGTAAACTTATTCCTCTATAATTTTTACAGTCTCTTTTGTCCCCTTTCCCTTTATATAAAGGGACTATACATGCTCTCTGCCAATCCCTAGGTACCTTCCCCTCTTTCATACATTTATTAAACAAAAGTACCAACCACTCCAACACTATATCCCCCCTGCTTTTAACATTTCTGTCATGATCCCATCAGTTCCAGCTGCTTTAACCCCCTTTCATTCTATGTAATGCCTCACGTACCTCCCCCACACTTACATTCTGCTCTTCTTCACTCCTAAAAGATGGTATACCTCCCTGACCAGTGCATGAAATTACTGCCTCTCTTTCTTCCTTAACATTTAAAAGTTCCTCAAAATATTCTCGCCATCTACCTAATAACTCCATCTCCCCATCTACTAACTCCCCTACTCTGTTTTTAACTGACAAATCCATACTTTCCATAGGCTTTCTTAACTTGTTTAACTCCAAAATTTTTTCTTATTTTCATTAAAATTTCTTGACAGTACCTCTCCCACTCTATCATCTGCTCTCCTTTTGCACTCTCTCACCACTCTCTTCACCTTTCTTTTACTCTCCATATACTCTGCTCTTCTTATAACACTTCTGCTTTGTAAAAACCTCTCATAAGCTACCTTTTTCTCTTTTATCACACCCTTTACTTCATCATTCCACCAATCACTCCTCTTTCCTCCTGCCCCCACCCTCCTATAACCACAACTTCTGCCCCACATTCTAATACTGCATTTTTAAAACTATTCCAACCCTCTTCAACCCCCCCACTACTCATCTTTGCACTAGCCCACCTTTCTGCCAATAGTCACTTATATCTCACCCGAACTTCCTCCTCCCTTAGTTTATACACTTTCACCTCCCTCTTACTTGTTGTTGCCACCTTCCTTTTTTCCCATCTACCTCGTACTCTAACTGTAGCTACAACTAAATAATGTACTTTATATAACTAGTCTAACAATTGCAGAATATGGAAATGGATACCAGCATAATTTATAGACTGGCCCCAGCTTGGCCTTCACTTAACTATACCCAAGAAGACTGGGAAGGGTTTTTTGACATGCTGAAGACATACATGCGGAAGAGAATTCATTGTAGGGAAAAGGCTCAAGCTTCCCTACCTGACAAAAGTAAGTGTGAAATATGCCAACCCTCTTCATATACATGTATATGGTACTAAGATTTTTGAGAAAACAAAATGAATGTGCTCAAAAGAGATACATTAAGCCAAAATATGTGTAAATCTTCTTAGACTAGTTTTGCTCTAAGCAGTCCTTTTTCAAGTCGTGTGACTTGAAAAAACATTGCTTAGGGCAAAACAGTCTATAAATGATGGTTTTTCTCTGCATATTATTTTGTTTTACCATATTAGCAAATCTTGCCAGCCAACAGTTTGATTTAAGAAAAATAAAGAAAAGTTGAAAAAAAATATTCAGCATCTGGAAAACAGGTAATTAAAATTCTCCAATGATTGAGTAGTGTTTGAGTGTTTAAAAGCTTCATTTCAGTATCTCTTAGTAATGTTTAATTGGCAGTAATGATGTCATTTCTGTGAGGTTAGCAAAGTAAGCTAACTATGTATTGGTGTATTTATTTAGGTTAATATTTTTCTCCATGTAAATATACATACATTATTAGGGTGATTTAAACATCGGTAACACTCTTCGGCTTAGGCGAGTCCACCCACTACACCCCTCAGAGCCCACGGTGCTTTGCTGATCTAGGTAGTAGAAGGAGCTCTCTCAGAATATAATAAGTATAAATATATAGTGAGGCTCAGGTTAGGGTACGTAGAAGAGAGGGAGAATACTTCCCGGTAAAAGTAGGTCTTAGACAGGGATGTGTAATGTCACCATGGTTGTTTAATATATTTATAGATGGGGTTGTAAAAGAAGTAAATGCTAGGGTGTTCGGGAGAGGGGTGGGATTAAATTATGGGGAATCAAATTCAAAATGGGAACTGACACAGTTACTTTTTGCTGATGATATTGTGCTTATGGGAGATTCTAAAGAAAAATTGCAAAGGTTAGTGGATGAGTTTGAGAATGTGTGTAAAGGTAGAAAGTTGAAAGTGAACATAGAAAAGAGTAAGGTGATGAGGGTATCAAATGATTTAGATAAAGAAAAATTGGATTTCAAATTGGGGAGGAGGAGTATGGAAGAAGTGAATGTTTTCAGATACTTGGGAGTTGACGTGTCGGCGGATGGGTTTATGAAGGATGAGGTTAATCAGAATTGATGAGGGAAAAAAGATGAGTGGTGCATTGAGGTATATGTGGAGTCAAAAAACGTTATCTATGGAGGCAAAGAAGGGAATGTATGAAAGTATAGTAGTACCAACACTCTTATATGGATGTGAAGCTTGGGTGGTAAATGCAGCAGCGAGGAGACGGTTGGAGGCAGTGGAGATGTCCTGTCTAAGGGCAATGTGTGGTGTAAATATTATGCAGAAAATTCGGAGTGTGGAAATTAGGAGAAGGTGTGGAGTTAATAAAAGCATTAGTCAGAGGGCAGAAGAGGGGTTGTTGAAGTGGTTTGGTCATTTAGAGAGAATGGATCAAAGTAGAATGACATGGAAAGCATATAAATCTATAGGGGAAGGAAGGAGGGGTAGGGGTCATCCTCGAAAGGGTTGGAAAGAGGGGGTAAAGGAGGTTTTGTGGGCAAGGGGCTTGGACTTCCAGCAAGCGTGCATGAGCGTGTTAGATAGGAGTGAATGGAGACGAATGATACTTGGGACCTGATGATCTGTTGGAGTGTGAGCAGGGTAATATTTAGTGAAGGGATTCAGGGAAACCAGTTATTTTCATATAGTCGGACTTGAGTCCTGGAAATGGGAAGTACAATGCCTGCACTTTATAGGAGGGGTTTGGGATATTGGCAGTTTGGAGGGATATGTTGTGTATCTTTATACGTATATACTTCTAATCTGTTGTATTCTGAGCACCTCTGCAAAAGCAGTGATAATGTGTGAGTGTGGTGAAAGTGTTGAATAATGATGAAAGTATTTTCTTTTTGGGGATTTTCTTTCTTTTTTGGGTCACCCTGCCTCAGTGGGAGACGGCCGACTTGTTGAAAAAAAAAAATACCAACAATCAATTTAAGTAAATGGATGCATATGTAATGTTATGGAATATTATATTTAGGTTGTGCTTCTCTTGCCAGGAGCTTCATCAAGCCTTATTGTACATTCACAACACAGCATAGGCATGTGTAGTGAGAGATAATGGGTGGAACCCAAGTGTAAAAGTTATAACAATGATCTAACAATAGAAGTGTACAGGGAACAGTGATAGCAAAAATTCAGTAAGAGTTGTACAAAGTATTAACACACACATAACAGGTATTAAGTAATAGCATGGATAGTCATGTTGTAGGGTTTCAGGACTATTCTTGATAATACAGTACTTTAGAAATGTTAAAGCAGCTGCTGTTTTGAGGAATTGTATCTGAAATACATTCTAGAAACTTTAAGTAATTTAGAAACATGTACAAGTATTAGAGAACAAACATACCTTCACAGCCAATAACATGAGCAACACATGTGTGATTCATCATCGCTCTCAAACATTATGTTGAAAATTAATTAAAAAGCTGCATTTATCTTTTGTATTAGAAGTAACACTGAATACAGTTGTTTTAGGTACAATAAATTTTGCATAATTATATTATTCAGAGGTAGTAGACTGGTAGACAGCAACTGCCTAGGGAGATACTATGTAGACAGCAACTGCCTAGGGAGATACTACGTAGACAGCAACTGCCCAGAGATACTACTGTCCTGCCAAGAGAATGTGAAATGGAAATCTGTAATTGTTTTACATTATGGTAGGATTGCTGGTATCTTCTTTTCTGTCTCATAAATGTATGAGATAACAGGTATATCTTGCTACTTCTACTTACACTTTGGTCACGCTACACATACATGTACACTCATTTGTATAGACACCCATTTGAGTTTTCTTTTATTTTCTTAATAGTTCTTGTTCTTTACTTCCTTTTATCTCCATGGGGAAGTAGAAAAGAATTTTTCCTCCATAAGCCATGCGTGTCATAAAAGGTGACTAAAATGCAGGGAGCAAGGGGCTAGTAACTGCTTCTCCTGTATAAATTACTAAATGTGAAAAGAAAAACGTTTGTTTTCCTTTTAGGTCACCCTGCTTTGGTGGGAGATGGCTAATTCATTGTTTATAGCAATTCTTATCTGCATTTTATTATACTTAACTTACCTTGTTCAACAGTTGCACATGTAAGAACTCGTCTTCTAGATCTGGAGAAAGAGATTGTGTATCTACAGCAGGAAAACACAAGTTTAACTGCACTCTACAATAATGTTCTTGCCAAGAATCATTCTCTGGAAGACAGGCTTTTCAACGAAGAGATTACAATAGAGAACTTAAAGAAAGATTTGGTAAAGTACAATAAATTAGAAGAAGAGCTTAAGGCTGTGGTAAGTAAATTATTGAGAATCCTGCACTGCTCTCTTGTTAACAATAAAAAAAAATGATAAACAAGTAAAATAAATACACAGTGTATACAGTTCTTACCTTAAAAAATGGTGCTGGTTGCCCTTCCCTTATACGACTATTGTGCAAAATGGAGGAAAAGCAGTAAAAGCACCAAACATAATGAATAATGGCTCAATGGAATGCCAATGAGAATTTGGAACTCCAAAAAGAGGGTGCCGAATATGGGGGCCCACCTGTACCAAAATTAATTTTTATATAATTAGTGTATAGTTTAGAAAGAGTCTTCTTACAAGTGTTTAAACCTTTCCATTTTATAGTTTAACTATGTTATCATTGTATTATTGTATATTGAGTTTTAATTTTGTGAACTAAACTTTATTTAAATTCCAGCTTTAATCTTGGGAGTGTATGATGTCATAGAGAGCAATAGAATTGTCACCTATTAATACCTGGTACTCAGTGTATCAAGATCATATTTCTACATTCATTGGTAATATGCTAGTTTTGGTGGATAGGATTTAATGACTGCATTATTTTCAGCTTGAAGAACGAGATTTGGCGAAGAACCATGAAGAAAGACAGAAACAACAGATGAAAGATGGATTAAAGCGCAAATTACGAGATGAATCAGAAAAGTTGCGAAGGGAAATGTTTGAAATCCCTTAAAAGAACGAGGGGAAAACCCTAAAGGGTTTAGTTTTTAATTTTTTTAAAAATTTTAAATTTACATATCCCAGTAGCTCTTTTTGAATAGTTTTTTGCTCTTAAAAAGTTTTTTTTAAAACCATAGCATGTTTTACAGTAGACACCATTTTTTTGTGGGTTTGTGGGTTGGTAGAAAACCAACTGACCAGGGAGGTATGTACTACTCCCTTGCCAATAGTGTAAAAGGGAAAGCCTTATTTGTTTAAATTGATGGTAAGGTTGCTGGTGTCTTTTTTTTTGTCTCAAAAACATACAAGATTTCAGGTACTTTCTTGCTACTTCTACTTACCTTATTTTGGACACTAAATATACTTTGTAAAACTTAAATCCAGTAGACCTCTTTTAAACCCCGGGTTTGTTTTGCATGTTTTGGTTATTGCACTATTGAAATTTTGGGGCATATTTTTGTTTAACACATTTGCAGGAGGGGGGGAAAATTTTTTGACCCCACAGTTGCCTGGGGGGTGGGGGGTTTCCTGCGGGTTACACCATTGAGTCAAGGGGGAGCCCAAAACCCCGCCTTTCCTTGCCACCCAAAACCACGCTCTAGCCTTCATTTGGGGTTTCATACACCGTGTGGGAACAATAATACCAGGAATTTTCTGTGTTATTTTACATAAATATTTTTTTTTCATTCCCATTTGTTAAATCTGTCAAGCATCATGGCATCCAGAAACATACAAGGTTCCTGCAATGACAAAAAAAGGGTTTTTAAGCATTCAAATCTGGGAATTTTTACGAAAAAAAAATCGGATTTTAGATAACTCAAGAGGGGCCCCGTGTGGGGGATATAGTGGGGCCCTTAGGGCCTTTAATGAAGCGTAAAGTTCGTACAATTAAAAAAAAGGGCAATTTACGGTTTGTTTTAATGAATAGCTCAAATTCATCTCTTGAAATGAATGACGATCCAAGCAAGTAAATAAAACTGAAAATTTGTTGCTTGAGGGGATCGCCCCAAATTTAAAAAAAAAGGTGCACCACTTAATTTCCTTTTAATTTTGGGAAAAGGCCCTACAGTTTTTTAAAGCATTGTGTGAAAAGGGAAGGAAAAGGCCTGAAAAAAAAAGTGATTTTTTGCACGGGCTAGTTCCAAAACCTTATTTTCCCACAAAAAGGTTTACATAATTTTAAATTTTTCTGGTTGAAGATTAAAAACACTTATGCAACATAGGGGGAATCTTTATTGAGGAAAGTTTTGCCACAGAGTGGCTTTTATCAGTCCGCACAAATCAGAAAGGGGTAAGGAGAAAAGGAGTTTGAGGGGAAAACAGTCCCCACCGGGTCGATGTTTTTCAGTCCCCAAACTTGTTGAAGTACCGCAAAAAGGGGCCCAGAAGTGGCTTAATACTGTTGTCAAAGGGAGGCGAAGCAGGAGGAGGGGGGGTCATTTATAGGGGGACCATCCCCTAGTCGAAGTAGGTCCCTTACCAAAGATTTTGGCCCAAATTTTTAAGAATTTTTTACCCAAAATCCCAAGAAGCTGCAGTGTCCCAATAAATTTTGGATAAAGGGTTTTAAAAAACGACCAAAATTTAAGATTGGGGACCCCGTATGGAAAACTGAAATTTTGGGAAAAGTTTCGCCCACAGTGGCTTCATCATTCCCAAAACAAAGCAGAAAGGGGGTTTAAAGGGGAGGGGGTTTTGGGGGAATCAGTCCTTTAGCCCCGGGGGTTTATGTGTTCATTTAAACAAACTTGTAGAATGACACATAGGGCTGTAGACGTGGGTTTATGTCTAAAAAAGAAATTTATGGACTGAAACAAACGACTCCCCGGCTGTAGTGGGACCTAAGCGTAATTTAAAATAGCAAGACTACCGAAACTTGCAAGTTTAAGGACAGAAACAGGATGCCAGCAATCCTACCCTCATGTTAAAAAAAATTACAGGCTTTTTTTTTACACCATTTTGGGAGGATGGGAGTACCCTTTCCCAGGCAGTTGCCCGTCTACCAACCTATTTCCTTGACAACTAAATTTTTCAATAAAAAAATGGGGGATGCATTTCCCCCAAAAAAATGGAATTAGTTTAAAACAGCACCCGGCTTTTATTTCTTTCTACCCTTTAAATGGAGGCATGAAAGGGAGTGGGTTTCTCTGTTTAGAAAGTTTAAAGGGAAATGTTTTGTAGGGTTGGGCCCGAAGATCACCCTTTAGTATTGGATTTTCTAAGTGGTTTTTAAATTGGGGCGGGGGTGCCCGAAAGGGTCTGTTTAATCACAAAATTCACTGAAGAGATTAAATTATTATTTTTTTTTATATGCAGGGGTTTAAAACATACCAAGCTCAAGATCTCGGGTCTGCGGAAGTTTTTAAAATTAAAGAAGACTTCTGCTTTTTCAAGTCTGCCCCAAAAAATTAGGAAAAAACCCGGGACATAATTCAAAAGGCACTTTTATTCCCCTCAAAAGAGAACTGTCCTCCTGAAAGGAAGGGGTTATTTTCCTTCGTTAAGTTTAAATTTTATTATTAAGTATGGTGAAATGAAATATGTATTAAAGTATTAATATTAAAAACATTATTTCATGCTTTTATTTTTCTTTTTTTACTAATTTTATTTGCCCCTGAGTTTAAAAGCAATGGGCCACCATACAACCCTTGCATGCAGGCTTTGCCCTTCCCATAATTTTTGTAGACTAAAATTTTTTATATAGCCGGACCTTTATCCCGGGAAAAGGGAATTTTTAATGCCCCACTTTTTTGGAGGGGGTTTTGGGGTTTGGGGAGTTTTTGGGGGGATTTGTTGTGTTCTCCCAACATATATGTTCCAAAAAGGGTTTTATTTTGAGGCACCTCTGCAAAAGCAGTGATAATGTGTGAGTGTGGTGAAAGTGTTGAATGATGATGAAAGTATTTTCTTTTTGGGGATTTTCTTTCTTTTTTTTGGGTCACCCTGCCTCGGTGGGAGACGGCCGACTTGTTGAAAAAAAAAAAAAAAAAAAAAAAAAATTATCTTACCCTAGATAGTAGGAGAAACTTTCGTTTTTCCTTTTGGGCCACCCCGCCTCGGTGGGATACGACCGGTGTGTTGAAAGAAAGAAAGAATTATCTTACCCTAGATAGTAGGTTGGTAGACAGCAACTGCCCAGGGAGGTACTACCGTCCTGCCAAGTGAGCGTAAAACGGAAACCTGTAATTGTTTTACATGATGGTAAGATTGCTGGTGTTTATTTTCTATCTCATAAACATGCAAGATTTCAGGTACGTCTTGCTACTTCTTCTTACACTTAGGTCACACTACACATACAGTACAAGCATATATATATATACACACACACCCCTCTGGGTTTTCTTCTATTTTCTTACTAGTTCTTGCTCTTGTTTATTTCCTGTTATCTCCATGGGGAAGTGGATCAGAATTCTTCCTCCGTAAGCCATGCGTGTTGTAAGAGGCGACTAAAATGCCAGGAGCAAGGGGCTAGTAACCCCTTCTCCTGTATATATTACTAAATGTAAAAGGAGAAACTTTCGTTTTTCCTTTTGGGCCACCCCGCCTCAGTGGGATACGGTCGATGTGTTGAAAGAAAGAAAGAATTATCTTACCCTAGATAGTAGGTTGGTAGACAGCAACCGCCCGGGGAGGTACTACCGTCCTGCCAAGTGAGTGTAAAACGAAAGCCTGTATTGTTTTACATGATGGTAGGATTGCTGGTGTCTTTTTTCTGTTTCATAAACATGCAAGATTTCAGGTACGTATTGCTACTTCTACTTACACTTAGGTCACACTACACATACATGTACAAGCATATACAGTGGTACCTTGAGTTTTGAACAGCTCCCAACTCGAACGGTTATGTAAGTGTATTTTTGTAAGTGCTTTTATAAGTGTATTTTTGGGGGTCTGAAACAGACTAATCTACTTTGCATTATTCCTTATGGGAACAAATTCGTTCGTTAACGGCACTCGAACAGTCTTCTGGATCGAATTAAGTTCGTAACTCGAGGTACCACTGTATATACACACCCCTCTGGGTTTTCTTCTATTTTACTTTTTTTTTTTTTCAACAAGTCGGCCGTCTCCCACCGAGGCAGGGTGACCCAAAAAAAGAAAGAAAATCCCCAAAAAGAAAATGCTTTCATCATTCAACACTTTCACCACACACACATAATCACTGTTTTTGCAGAGGTGCTCAGAATACAACAGCTTAGAAGCATATACGTATAAAGATACACAATATATCCCTCCAAACTGCCAATATCCCAAACTCCTCCTTTAAAGTGCAGGCATTGTACTTTCCATTTCCAGGACTCAAGTCCGACTATATGAAAATAACCGGTTTCCCTGAATCCCTTCACTAAATATTACCCTGCTCACACTCCAACAGATCGTCAGGTCCCAAATACCATTCGTCTCCATTCACTCCTATCTAACACGCTCACGCACGCTTGCTGGAAGTCCAAGCCCTTGCCCACAAAACCTCCTTTACCCCCTCTCTCCAACCCTTTCGAGGACGACCCTACCTCGCCTTCCTTCCCTATAGATTTATATGCTTTCCATGTCATTCTACTTTGATCCATTCTCTCTAAATGACCAAACCACCTCAACAACCCCTCTTCTGCCCTCTGACTAATACTTTTATTAACTCCACACCTTTTTCCTAATTTCCACACTCCGAATTTTCTGCATAATATTTACACCACACATTGCCCTTAGACAGGATATCTCCACTGCCTCCAACCGTCTCCTCGCTGCTGCATTTACCACCCAAGCTTCACACCCATATAAGAGTGTTGGTACTACTATACTTTCATACATTCCCTTCTTTGCCTCCATAGATAACGTTTTTTGACTCCACATATACCTCAATGCACCACTCACCTTTTTTCCCTCATCAATTCTATGATTAACCTCATCCTTCATAAATCCAACCGCCGACACGTCAACTCCCAAGTATCTGAAAACATTCACTTCTTCCATACTCCTCCTCCCCAATTTGATATCCAATTTTTCTTTATCTAAATCATTTGATACCCTCATCACCTTACTCTTTTCTATGTTCACTTTCAACTTTCTACCTTACCACATTCCCAAACTCATCCACTAACCTTTGCAATTTTTCTTTAGAATCTCCCATAAGCACAGTATCATCAGCAAAAAGTAACTGTGTTAATTCCCATTTTGAATTTGATTCCCCATAATTTAATCCCACCCCTCTCCCGAACACCCTAGCATTTACTTCTTTTACAACCCCATCTATAAATATATTAAACAACTATGGTGACATTACACATCCCTGTCTAAGACCTACTTTTACCGGGAAGTAGTCTCCCTCTCTTCTACACACCCTAACCTGAGCCTCACTATCCTCATAAAAACTCTTTACAGCATTTAGTAACTTACCACCTATTACTTGTTCTTGTTTATTTCTTCTTATCTCCATGGAGAAGTAGAACAGAATTCTTCCTCTGTAAGCCATGCATGTCGTAAGAGGCAACTAAAATGCCAGGAGCAAGGGGCTAGTAACTCCTTCTCCTGTATATATTACTAAATTTAAAAGGAGAAACTTTTGTTTTTCCTTTTGGGACACACTGCCTCGGTGGGATACGGCCGGTGTGTTGGAAGAAGATAGATTTATGAAGGATGAGGTTAATCATAGAAATGATGAAGGAAAAAAGGTGAGTGGTGCATTGAGGTATATGTGGAGGGAAAAAAATGTTATCTATGGAGGCAAAGAAGGGAATGTATGAAAGTATAGTAGTACCAACACTCTTATATGGGTGTGAAGCTTGGGTTGTAAATGCTGCAGTCAGGAGGCAGTTGGAGGCATAGGAGATGTCCTGTCTAAGGGCAATGTGTGGTGTAAATATTATGCAGAAAATTCGTAGTGTGGAAATTAGGAGGTGTGGAGTTAATAAAAGTATTAGTCAGATGGCTGAAGAGGGTTTGTTGAGGTGGTTTGGTCATTTAGAGAGATTGGATCAAAGTAGAATGACATGGAGAGTGAATAAATCTGTAGGGGAAGGAAGGCGGGGTAGGGGTTGTCTTTGAAAAGGTTGGAGGGAGGGGGTAAAGGAGGTGTTGTGGGCGAGGGGTTTGGACTTCCAGCAAGCGTGCATGAGCGTGTTAGATAGGAGTAAATGGAGACGAATGGTATTTGGGACTTGACGAGCTGTTGGAGTGTGAGCAGGGTAATATTTAGTGAAGGGATTTAGGAAACAGTGATAATGTGCGAGTGTGGTGAAAGTGTTGAATGATGATGAAAGTATTTTCTTTTGGGGGATTTTCTTTCTTTTTTGGGTCACCCTGCCTCGGTGGGAGACGGCCGACTTGTTGAAAAAAAAAAAAAAAAAATTTAGGGGAACCGGTTATTTTATATAACCGGACTTGAGTCCTGGAAATGGGAAATACAATGCCTGCACTCTGAAGGAGGGGTTTGGGATATTGGCAGTTTGGAGGGATATATTGTGTATTTTTATACGTATATACTTGTAAACTGTTGTATTCTGGGCACCTCTGCAAAAACAGTGATTATGTGTGAGTGAGGTGAAAGTGTTGAATGATGATGAAAGTATTTTCTTTTTGGGGATTTTCTTTCTTTTTGGGTCACCCTGCCTCGGTGGGGGATGGCCAACTTGTTGAAAAAAAAAAATTAAGATTAACAAAAGCCTGTAATTGTTTTACATGACGGTTTGATTGCTGGTGTCTTTTTTTCTGTTTCATAAACATGCAAGATTTTGGGTACATCTTGCTACTTCTACTTACACTTTGGTCACACTACACATGCTTGTACAAACATATATATACACACCCCTCTGGATTTTCTTCTATTTTCTTACTAGCTCTTGTTCGTGTTTATTTCCTCTTATCTCCATGGGGAAGTAGAACAGAATTCTTTCTCCATAAGCCATGCATGTTAAAAGAGGCAACTAAAATGCTGGGAGCAAGGGGCTAGTAACCCCTGTATTACTGAAGTTAAAAGAGAAACTTTTGTTTTTCTTTTTAGGTCACCCTGCCTTGGTGGGATATGGCTGGTTTGATGAAAAATTTTTTTTTAAGATACTTTTCTATTCAGGGTCCAGCTGTTTGTGACCAGAGATATCGTTCGTCATTGGTTGACCAACATGATGCTTGGTTGAATCATTGCCCAAAACAGGTTAGTTAAGATCTTCCTGGTAATTTGATACCTGATATGTTCTACTGAAAAGATTAGCCACCACCAAAGCAAACCACAGTCAATAAATGATCATGTTACACTGCATTTGGTTAATTTTTCCAATGTGTTAGTATTTTATACCTTTTATCTCCATCTGTTTGGAGTGACTTGTAAACTGTCACATCTGGGCACCTCTGTAAAGACAGTGATTATATGTGAATGATGGTAAAAGTGTTTCTTTCTTGGATCACCTTGCCTCAGTGGGAGATGGCCAGTGTGTTAAAAAAAATCTCCAACTTTATGGAGATAAAAGATATAAAAGGCAGAGGTTATTTGAAGGTGTTCTATGGGACTGATTACCATTTCTACTGTCTCCTGTTTCAACACCTTCAAATAACCTCTGTATCAGGGTGGTAAAGCCACTGATTGGTGAAATGTCTTCAGAATATAGATACCCAGGTGTTGCACATGTCTTATTCATTATCAGTCTAACAGATTTTGTTAAAAATCAGCACATATTATCATTTTAGCATCATACACTAGATTTTTAGTATCATACAACAGATTTTTAGTACAGTACCATCATACAGTAGATTTTTAGTACCATTATACAATAGGTTTTTAGTACCATCATACAATAGATTTTTAGTACCATCATACAATAGATTTTTAGTACCACCATACACTAGATTTGTAGTACCATAATACACTAGATTTGCAGTACTATCATGCAGTTTTTTTGCACTCTTACTAAATTAACAGCAGTGTTTAGTGAATTTTATCATACACTTACCTATACCAACTTAAATAGGTAGAGTAATTACAGTCAGACATTTATAGTACACACTGCTTTCTTTTTTTTTTGTTCCCTAATATTTCTTGTATCTGCAGATGGTGCCAATGGGAACTGCTCTTCAGCCAATACTCAACACTCAGAAGGTAGTGACAAATGTGAAGAAAGCACATTTAGAGAAGAATACCATCACAAATTATTGCCTAACAACTCAAGATCAGGACAGTCAGGGAGAAATGGAAACTAGAGTATACAAGGTAGAGCAAAGCAATCTTTTGTTATTTAATGTGAGCAGTTGTTAAATGTTTTTGTTGTATACCAACATGTTAATTTTTAATATCGTTTAATGGAAAGTAGTGATGGAAATAAAGTTTACATAGTCTTTAAGATACTGAATTAGTAAACTCTTGTCTTTTAGGGTGATGTCCTGCCAACAGCTGGAGGAGGGTCCCAGGTTGTACTTAAAGATGTAGAAGTACACAAACAACGAGAAATTCAGAATGTTGGTATAAATAAAAGTCTTCCTAAAGAGACACCAAGGATTCCAACTGAGAGCATTCAAGAACGTTGTTCTACTGGTATTCAGTTTCTAGCAAGGCCAGGGTATCATTCACCATAGAAGCCTACACATAACTAAATTTTCCATATTTTTTTTTTTTTTTGGCTTAGGTTACAGGCAATATTTATTTTTTAGAAGAAATACCAATGTTACTTTAATTTACTTATTTGTTATTTTCTCTTAATTTATTGTTACAAAAGAAGAGTCAAAGATTTTATTTGTTGTTTAGTTTATGTTCAATGTAAAAATCACAAGTAATCCAGTGAGCCCATTTCTGTTTTAGCAGTTAAATTTTTTTTTTTTTTTTTTTTCAACAAGTCGGCCGTCTCCCACCGAGGCAGGGTGACCCGAAAAAGAAAGAAAATCCCCAAAAAGAAAATACTTTCATCATCATTCAACACTTTCACCACACTCACACATAATCACTGTTTTTGCAGAGGTGCTCAGAATACAACAGTTTAGAAGCATATATGTATAAAGATACACAACATATCCCTCCAAACTGCCAATATCCCAAACCCCTGCTTTAAAGTGCAGGCATTGTACTTCCCATTTCCAGGACTCAAGTCCGACTATATGAAAATAACCGGTTTCCCTGAATCCCTTCACTAAATATTACCCTGCTCACACTCCAACAGATCGTCAGGTCCCAAGTACCATTCGTCTCCATTCACTCCTATCTAACACGCTCACGCACGCTTGCTGGAAGTCCAAGCCCCTTGCCCACAAAACCTCCTTTACCCCCTCTCTCCAACCCTTTCGAGGACGACCCCTACCTCGCCTTTCTTCCCCTATAGATTTATATGCTTTCCATGTCATTCTACTTTGATCCATTCTCTCTAAATGACCAAACCACCTCAACAACCCCTCTTCTGCCCTCTGACTAATACTTTTATTAACTCCACACCTTTTCCTAATTTCCACACTCCGAATTTTCTGCATAATATTTACACCACACATTGCCCTTAGACAGGACATCTCCACTGCCTCCAACCGTCTCCTCGCTGCTGCATTTACCACCCAAGCTTCACACCCATATAAGAGTGTTGGTACTACTATACTTTCATACATTCCCTTCTTTGCCTCCATAGATAATGTTTTTTGACTCCACATATACCTCAATGCACCACTCACCTTTTTTCTCCCATCAATTCTATGATTAACCTCATCCTTCATAAATCCATCCGCCGACACGTCAACTCCCAAGTATCTGAAAACATTCACTTCTTCCATACTCCTCCTCCCCAATTTGATATCCAATTTTTCTTTATCTAAATCATTTGATACCCTCATCACCTTACTCTTTTCTATGTTCACTTTCAACTTTCTACCTTTACACACATTCCCAAACTCATCCACTAACCTTTGCAATTTTTCTTTAGAATCTCCATAAGCACAGTATCATCAGCAAAAAGTAACTGTTAATTCCCATTTTGTATTTGATTCCCCATAATTTAATCCCACCCCTCTCCCGAACACCCTAGCATTTACTTCTTTTACAACCCCATCTATAAATATATTAAACAACCATGGTGACATTATACATCCCTGTCTAAGACCTACTTTTACCGGGAAGTAGTCTCCCTCTCTTCTACACACCCTAACCTGAGCCTCACTATCCTCATAAAAACTCTACAGCATTTAGTAACTTACCACCTATTCCATATACTTGCAACATCTGCCACATTGCTCCACTATCATATGCCTTTTCTAAATCCATAAATGCAATAAAAACTTCCCTACCTTTATCTAAATACTGTTCACATATATGCTTCAATGTAAACACTTGATCTACACATCCCCTACCCACTCTGAAACCTCCTTGCTCATCCGCAATCCTACATTCTGTCTTGCCTCTAACTCTTTCAATTATAACCCTACCATACACTTTTCCTGGTATACTCAATAAACTTATTCCTCTATAATTTTTACAATCTCTTTTGTCCCCTTTCCCTTTATATAAAGGGACTATACATGCTCTCTGCCAATCCCTAGGTACCTTCCCCTCATTCATACATTTATTAAACAAAAGTACCAACCACTCCAACACTACATCCCCCCCCCTGCTCTTAACATTTCTGTCATGATCCCATCAGTTCCAGCTGCTTTACCCCCTTTCATTCTACGTAATGTCTCGCGTACCTCCCCCACACTTACAGTCTGCTCTTCTTCACTCCTAAAAGATGGTATACCTCCCTGACCAGTGCATGAAATTACCATCTCCCTTTCTTCCTCAACATTTAAAAGTTCCTCAAAATATTCTCGCCATCTACCTAATACCTCCCTCTCCCCATCTACTAACTCCCCTACTCTGTTTTTAACTGACAAATCCATACTTTCCCTAGGCTTTCTTAACTTGTTTAACTCACTCCAAAATTTTTTCTTATTTTCATTAAAATTTCTTGACAGTGCCTCTCCCACTCTATCATCTGCTCTCCTTTTGCACTCTCACCACTCTCTTCACCTTTCTTTTACTCTCCATATACTCTGCTCTTCTTATAACACTTCTGCTTTGTAAAAACCTCTCATAAGCTAACTTTTTCTCTTTTATCACACCCTTTACTTCATCATTCCACCAATCACTCCTTTTTCCACCTGCCCCCTCCCTCCTATAACCACAAACTTCTGCCCCACATTCTAATACTGCATTTTTAAAACTATTCCAACCCTCTTCAACCCCCCCACTACTCATCTTTGCACTAGCCCACCTTTCTGCCAAGTCGCTTATATCTCCCCCGAACTTAGTCCTCCCTTAGTTTATACACTTTCACCTCCCTCTTACTTGTTGTTGCCACCTTCCTCTTTTCCCATCTACCTCTTACTCTAACTGTAGCTACAACTAAATAATGATCCGATATATCAGTTGCCCCTCTATAAACATGTACATCCTGGAGCCTACCCATCAACCTTTTATCCACCAATACATAATCTAATAAACTACTTTCATTACATGCTACATCATACCTTGTATATTTATTTATCCTCTTTTTCATAAAATATGTATTATTTATTACCAAATCTCTTTCTACACATAGCTCAATTAAAGGCTCCCCATTTACATTTACCCCTGGCACCCCAAATTTACCTACTACTCCCTCCATAACATTTTTACCCACTTTAGCATTAAAATCCCCAACCACCATTACTCTTACACTTGATTCAAAACTCCCCACGCATTCACTCAACATTTCCCAAAATCTCTCTCTCTCCTCTACACTTCTTTCTTCTCCAGGTGCATACACGCTTACTATAACCCACTTTTCACATCCAATCTTTATTTTACTCCACATAATCCTTGAATTAATACATTTATAGTCCCTCTTTTCCTGCCATAGCTTATCCTTCAACATTATTGCTACTCCTTCTTTAGCTCTAACCTAACCCCTGACCTAATCCCATTTATTCCTCTCCATTGAAACTCTCCCACCCCCTTCAGCTTTGTTTCACTTAAAGCCAGGACATCCAGCTTCTTCTCATTCATAACACAACAATCATCTCTTTCTTATCATTTGCACAACATCCACGCACATTCAGACTTCCTACTTTGACAATTTTCTTCTTATTCTTTTTAGTAATCTTTACAGGAAAAGGGGTTACTAGCCCATTGGTCCCGGCATTTTAGTTGACTTTTACAACACGCATGGCTTACGGAGGAAAGATTCTTATTCCACTTCCCCATGGATATAAAAGGAAAAGTAATAAGACCAAGAACTATTAAGATAAAATCAAAGAAAACTCAGATGAGTGTGTATAAATAAATGTGTACATGTACATGCGTGAGCGTGTTTGATAGGAGTGAATGGAGACAAATGGTTTTTAATACTTGACGTGCTGTTGGAGTGTGAGCAAAGTAACATTTATGAAGGGATTCAGGGAAACCGGCAGGCCGGACTTGAGTCCTGGAGATGGGAAGTACAGTGCCTGCACTCTGAAGGAGGGGTGTTAATGTTGCAGTTTAAAAACTGTAGTGTAAAGCACCCTTCTGGCAAGACAGTGATGGAGTGAATGATGGTGAAAGTTTTTCTTTTTCGGGCCACCCTGCCTTGGTGGGAATCGGCCGGTGTGATAATAAAAAAAAAAAAAAAATGTATGTGTAGTGTGACCTAAGTGTAAGTAGAAGTAGCAAGACATACTTGTAAATATATATGAATTGTAAATATATTAATACATATTTTAACTGGTAGGTAGTAGGTTGGTAGACAGCAACCACCCAGGGAGGTACTACCGTCCTGCCAAGTGAATGTAAAACAAAAGCCTGTAATTGTTTTACATGATGGTAGGATTGCTGGTGTCTTTTGTCTGTCTCATAAATATGCAAGATTACAAGTATGTCTTGCTACTTCTACTTACACTTAGGTCACACTACATACATTTTTTTTTTTTTTTTTTTTTTTAATGTATGTGTAGTGTGACCTAAGTGTAAGTAGAAGTAGCAAGACATACTTGTAATCTTGCATATTTATGAGACAGACAAAAGACACCAGCAATCCTACCATCATGTAAAACAATTGCAGGCTTTTGTTTTATATTCACTTGGCAGGACAGTAGTACCTCCCTGGGTGGTTGCTGTCTATCAACCGACTACCTACCAGTTAAAATATGTATTAATATATTTACAATTCAGGTGAGATGACAACTTGATAGTGTGATGAGAGTACTTCCTGTTGCCCATTTTCATTGTGAACTTAGTTTCACCTTGAAGGTGCAGGTTGTGTAAGTAGGGATATAAGTTCAGGTGTAAATAGGAGTAGAACACAGGTTGTGGAAGTAGGAGTATATTTTATAGAGGAAAATACAGTTCTGAGATGACTTAATTGATAGAAAATGTAAATTTTTATTTATCCTATTTTGTAGGAAAGTGACTGTTACCCTTATTTAAAGATGTTAATTGATGTCTTGTACAACATCTGGAGGCTTAAATACAAAGGCTGTGTACCTGCATTTGAATCTGGTATTTTATATTTTATGTAGCAAATTATTTGAGAGGAAGCTTTTAATATTGTACTTTGTCTACTATTGGTTGAAGATTTCTTATGATGTGACTTACAACATTTTGTTTAGCTATACGTATACAATATATAGACTGGTATATAATATTAGAAAGTAAGGAATATCTAGATGCTGCCCCATCTGGAGAAGACCTGGGCCGGAAGTACCGGTAAATCCCTAATGAATGAATCTAGATGCTTTGTAATATAGATATTAGGAAACATATGCATATGGTTAATTGTTTCAGGAGCATTATTTTGTCATTGTATATATGAGTAATTAATTAGATATAGTATTATGTTGAATATATTTTGTAAACTTTAAGGATTATAAAAGAGAATCATTATCTGGGCACACTTACGTTGTCTTATGATTCAAGCCCTCCAAGGACTTTTTGGTGGGATTTCTTTGCTGCCTTGTAGGGGCTTTTGTACTAAAGAATTGGACCTCTTTTTTTTTCCTTTCTTGGATATTTTCCCCTCTGTAAACTTCAGTGCCTTATATCAAAGGATACAGGGATAGGGATAGTTCCAAATGTTGACCTTCCAATTTTTCCCCCTATAAATATTTTTTTTACAAGAATCAGTATTGTATTTTATAGTTGCAATTCCTATCTCTGTACTTTTGTATTCATTTGCCCCTTCCCATTGAAACCTGCAGTAAAAGTGCATTTCTCTCTCTCTCTCTTTTTTTTTTTTTTTTTTTTTTTTTTAACAAGTAGGCATTTCTCACATGTAATTATATAACTTGTTCTTGAATTTCCATTCATACTCTACTTCCCTATACTGCAGCCCATGTCTATTAAGATTTGTGGTACACAGTCTGGTCTCTGAATTTTTTTCCCTTCATCTCCTTTGTTTTTAACTAATATTCAATCTCTGATTTCATCCTTTCATATACCACTCCTTTTATTGGATGATTTTGTAACTTTTCATTTGTTCT